ACAGTGGCATAATGGAAAATTTTATCCTCAGCATAAAATGGCTTCATAAGTAATAACCATTATTAGTTAATAATTTTGGCCCAGGACATTTACCACTCCTGAGTCCTAATTTTGCCATCTACAGTTACATTAGTAAATTGGCCATCTACAGTTACATTGACAGTATGTAGGCTGGTGACCACAGATTCATATTTCAGCCAGAGAAGTGCAGAATAGCACTAATGGGGAGAAGTTCCCTCCTCTGCCCTCCCCGCAAGCCCTCAATACTGTGCTGTTACTCTTATCTCTTTATATTAACATTATCCATTTAAACAGTGTCTTTTTAAGTTGTGTATGTTCTGCCAAGGAAAGGATCAGAGTTTTTATCATTTCTCCAGCTATACCTGTAAGTTGCCTTGAATTAAGCAGGCTATTAACGAACATCTGAAAACAATTTTAATTCATTTTTAACCCACGACTTAATACATGACCCACTATGGCAAGAGGGATTTAGGATGAATTTATCAGTCAGAGTTTAACTATCCAGAACTTCCCAAACTAACTGACTAAGGTGAATGAGAAGAGAAAGTTTTGGAAGGATAGGAAGTAGGGGAAGGATTGCTTGAAGAATAGGGCTGCTGACATCACAAAGTTCCTTTATTAATTTGGTTAAGTTGTCTATGGGCACCATGAGTATTGTGGCCATTTGGCACTCACCTGTGTGTGCCTCCTGCCATTAAGATACTTCCCTTCCTATCCCTTGATACAGACTTGAAGTCCCAAGGAAAGCATCCTATTGGCTGAGCCTAAATCTCAGTCTGTACTATAGCTGCTGCGGGACTGGGAGAGGGATCATTTCCCTTTCCTCAGAATTGGAGGCAGGGTTGCTGCCCTTAGTCAGGACACACACCTAGGAACAGTTCCCAGAGAGCCCAGAGAGGAAGAGGGTTTAGATCTTATGTTGCCTCATCAATCGAAATGTCTACTAATCTGACCAGAAGGATCTGAATCATAGCTCAAAAGGATTGCACTTCTTAGAATTTAAAATGTAAATAGGCAGATTCCTGGTGGTCTGAAATGGTTTAGACAATAATTCTTCCATGAGACAGAGATGGATTGAAATATAATACATTCCCACATGACCATCATCTCCTGAAAAGTTTCCTTCACATTTAAGTCTCAGTATAAGAAGTCTTGAGAACTACAGTCTAGAATTTCCTCCCTCCCTCCCTTCTTCCCTCCCACCCCTTTACTTTGCTGTAGAGAATTTGCTAAGAAGATGTATTTCCTCTCTCAAGTAGACTGTCTCCTGTTTGTAACTGATACTATGCACAGCAGTACAGCATCTGTGTTTCTGGAAAATGATGTGTGAAAACAGTTTTCAAAAATGCACACTGTCTAGATAAAATGAAAACTAAGAATATGTTTGGTTATCACTTTGTAGAGCCTATTGAATTTGGCTGTGAATGGGAATCTAATTGTCATCCATTTCTAGTGGAGCCTTCCATAAACATTACATTTCCATTAAAAAGGGAATTCAGCGATAGTATCTTGGAGTTCACACAGAAATCATAAAAATAAATAATGACCAGTTGGTTGCTTAATAATTTACATTTCCTTTTGATAGACCATTAGGGAAAATAAGCAAAGCTACAGGTATAGAAAATGTCATGATTTGTCTGTAAAAGAAACATCTTTACAGAAGTGTTACAAATAGTTTCCCAGTTTTGAATGATGACTATGATTATTCTCCCGTTCTTCATTTGTAGTCAGAGTAAGTCTTCTTCATCACCTGTTCTTGTTACCATGGGATTGGCATAAAAATGTTACCACTCACAGGGTTGAATTCAAGGATTGATGGTTCCACACAGCTTAGAGGGGCCAGGCTTAAGTGCACTTGTTGCTAAAAAATCTCTTCAATCCTTGAAACAATAGCAAGAACAAATAATGTGCTATTTTTGAAAACCCAGGAAACTTAATGTTCATGGTCAGAATCCCTCCTCCTCCTCAGCAATTTGAATGACCAATGTCCATTTGATGGGTAGGCCAGTCTTTTTAATGATTTTTAAATTTTATTTTGATGAGCAGTTATCAAAAGGTCTATCAAAGTCTATTCTAACTGTTCTAATTTGCACGTAATGTGGTAAAACACAAAAAGATATGAAATCAATATTCCTTAAAGCACAGTTCCAAATACTATCTCCCTTGATTGAATCTAAAATCTCTAACTCTCTACCTGATTAAGTCTAAAGTCCTATCTTGGGACTTCGCAGGTCTTTACCCTATAGTTTCTGCTTATCTTCTGACATTTCACTCTGCTTTTTTTCCCTCTAGTATATGTATGACATATTCAACTTTAGTGGTTCTTAATCCTGGCTGCATATCAGAATCACCTGGAGGACTTTAAAAAAATAATGCCAAAGGACCTCCCCTTGCTAATTGAATATGAATCTGGGGTGAATCACAGGCATCAATTTGCCACTGTTTTAACTTTTAACGATTTCTAACTCCTTATTTTGTTAGCTATTGTTACAATTAAACTCCAAGATTTCTTTGTATAAATCACTGAATGTTTTATTATGCACTCAAACCTTGTAGGTCAGAATATCTGACAGTATATAGTTCCAATTATCTTGGAGTTCATCTTGATGTCTGAGGTCTTAGCTAAGACAACTCAAATGGCTAGGAATGTCTCACAAAGCTGGAGGTAGAGATCATCTGGACACTTCTTTATTGACATTTCTGCTACTTAGACTGAGAGGATGCAAAGGCTCTGCTTAGCCAGACCTGTCAGTCAGGTGCCCATTTATGTTCCTTCACATAGCTGTGGTGACTCAGTGTAGCCAAACTTTGTACATGAAAGCTCAGGACTACAGAAGCAAATATTGCACTCCCCAAAAAAGAGGAATTGTAAAGCTGTTTTTTGCATTTAACCTCAGAGACACAATTTTTCAGATTCAAAGAGGAAAGGAAACTCACTTCTTTTTTATTATTTATTTATTCTAGTTTGTTATATATGACAGCAAAATGTATTACAATTTATAAAACACATACAGAGCACAATTCTTCATATCTCTGGTTGTACACAATGTAGACTCATGCCATTTGTGTCTTCATACAGTAATGCTGTCCATCTCATTCCACCATTTTCCATACCCACATGCCCCCTCCCTTCCTTTTCCTTCCCTTTGCCCTATCTAGAGTTTGTCTAATCCTCCCATGCTCCCCCCAACCTATTATGAATATGCATACTTATATCAGAGAAAACATTCAGCATTTGTTTTTTTTTTTTTTGGGGGGGGGGATTGACTAACTTCACTTAGCATTATATTCTCCGTCTCCATCGATTTACCGGTACATGCCATGATTTTATTCTCTTTTATTGCTGAGTAAAATTCCATTGTGTATATATGCCACATTTTTTTTAAAAATCCATTCATTCACTGAAGGGCATCTAGGTTGACTTCACAGTTTAGCTATTGTGAATTGTGCTGCTGTAAATATTGTTGTGGCTGTGTCCCTGGCTATAGACCTTTAAGTCCCTTGGGTATAGACCAAGGAGTCGGGTAGCTGGTTCAAATGGTGGTTCCATTCCCAGTTTTACAAGAATCTCTATACTGCTAAGAAAATCCACTTCTTTATAGGAAGAGTGGCAATGAATTTGTAGCCACATTGTAAAGTTGGCACACACCCAAGTGATTTCAACATATACCTGAGTTAAGAACAAATGGAGGAGGAAGAGCATGAGAAGAAGATTAACATTAAACAGGGATGAGAGGTGGGAGGGAAAGGGAGAGAGAAGGGAAATTGTACGGAAATGAAAGGAGACCCTCAGGGTTATACAAAATTACATACAAGAGGAAGTGAGGGGAAAGGGAAAAAAAAACAAGGGGGAGAAATGAATTACAGTAGATGGGGTAGAGAAAGAAGAGGGGAGGGGAGGGGAGGGAAGGGGGGATAGTAGAGGATAGGAAAGGCAGCAGAATACAACAGACACTAGTATGGCAATATGTAAATCAGTGGATGTGTAACTGATGTGATTCTGCAATCTGTATACGGTAAAAATGGGAGTTCATAACCCACTTGAATCAAAGTGTGAAATATGATATGTCAAGAACTATGTAATGTTTTGAACAACCAACAATAAAAATTTAAAAAAAAAGAACAAATGGGTTCATTGTTTACGAACACTGAACAACATAGCAGGACTGGGAGTTGAATGAGGTGAATAAGAAAGATAGGATGCAAAATTTAAGAAAGCAATCACTCTGCATCAGACAATCGCAGGGCAGGACCTCAGAACCACTATCTCCTTATATTTTGTGTCCAGTGTGCCTGGGTGGCATCACTCTTGACCTGATAGCACTGCCATATCTAAGCCTCAGAGCTCTTTAAGGTAAGCACCATCATGGTGACCATTTTACTGATAAGGAAGACTGAGGCTTGAAGATTTAGTAACTTGCTGGATTGCAAGATAACAAAGTAATTAAGACAAATTTGGACTCAGATCTGGCAGATTCAAAAACGGAATACCTAGATCCCAAGAAGAAATTAGACAAATTAGTCATTCTTCCGTCATGCTATCCAGGACCCCACCTGCCTTTGGGGAGGGCAAGGCAGACAGCCCTGCTTGGACAAAAAGTCAAGTAGGCACAATATCTTTGAATCCCTTCGTGGTTTTCAAGGTGAGGTGAGTCTGGGGATGTCTTCCTCCTTTGGCTGCTTAGGACAAAAGTCCTTCTATCTATTGCTCCAGTCTGTCTCTCTATCGGGGCAACAGCCGTCTTGCTTTTATGTGAGGCTGTCGTGCGGTGGGCAGGGGCTTTTAGGGTTATCTCTGGTAGGTGGCTGACGGCCCTGCAAGGAAGAGCCCACTCAATGGCAAGGGGAGTTGCTCGTTGCTAAGTGCAGGGAGGAGTCCGTTCCTGGCACCGTCAGCGAGGGAAGGGGGCGGCGAGAGTGAGCGTTTGGAGCCAGGAGGCCGGAGGGAGGGAGGAGGAGACCCAGCGCAGAGACAGCGGAGGGAGGCGCGCGAGCGAGCAAGCTTGCACTCACTCGGATCCCAAGCCCGGGCGGCGCAGAAGCAGCTGCGGCCGCGCCCTAGTCCGAGTCGGTGCATCCGCCCAGCCCGGTCCCGCCCGCGGGCGTCAGGGCTCCCGAGGATGGAGGATTCCCTGGAGACATCGCCATCCTCCAACAACTCCTCCGAAGAGCTCAGCTCTGCCCTGCAGCTGTCCAAGGGCATGTCGATCTTCCTCGACGTAAGTACAGCTGGAAGGAGTTAGGTGGGCACTTGCCCAGCCTCACTCCACTTCCCCCGGGAATGGCCGGTGACTGGAGGGCTCAGGTGTTGACCAACTTTTTGCCCCCAGAACATGGATAAGAATGACCTTCTCTCCTCCGATCCACAGTCAACCCCCAAGGCAAATGCAAGAGAAAGGTCTGCCTTCAACTTGTGAAGGGGCTGTCCCAGACCTGCAACTTGGGATTTAACAACCCTTGATGAAATTCCAAAAGTTAGATTTCTCAACAGCCTGGGTTTCTGTAAGGGCTGAACTGTAAATGTAACAGTCTCCATTGGGGTGAATAGAACGTTTTAAAGAGCTATCAGATATGGGGTCCCATCTCATCTGTACTGTGCCCTATTTGCTGATAGGCAACCTCTCTCTCGTGCTCTAAACCAACCCCAGCAAGCTCTAGAAATTGCGAGGCCCTGGGGTTTTCTAGCAGCTCTCCTGGAAAACAATTACTTTGAACATATTTGTTTTCCATTATCCAGCGGTGGACAGATCTCTTTCATGATCATCATTCTTTATTGTTTTTTTCACTGCCACTTTCTGTTCCCAACCCCCTTCCCTGATATCCCCCTTCCCTGACCCTCTCCAAGTTGTGATTACTATTATTATCTTCAGTCCTAGCTTTTGACTTGTTTTTCCTTTGGTCCTGTCTCTTGCTTGGGATTGATTTCCTTTCTCCATTTCTCTGATATGATGATCATTCCTTCTTTTCTTTCTGTGCTATTTTTTTTTCTGTCATCATGCTGTGGATTTCTATCTTTATAGCAGTTTTAGTTCTTATTGGTTTCTCAGTTTTACTGTGCTTTTCCTTCCTGCCGTTTCTCTTCTCTGTATTTTTCACCCTGCTGTCCGGCTCTTTTCTCTGCCTTTGGGTTTCCTGATCATCTTTCCATCCCTCAGTTGCCTGTGGGGCTCCCGGCTCTCCCTGTTCCTCAGTTGTCACATTCATGCCGTTCCCCCAGGTAGTGTCTGGCTCAGTGGGGAAAATTCTAGCTACTGCTTGTTTGATAGAAAATAGGCAAAGGGCATCTAGGAATATGGAATGTTCTTTCCCTTACCTTTCCAAGCTATCATTTCTAATTAAAATTGAAATAAATCAGAGGTGGGCCAGAGGCCAAATGCATTTATTTGTAGAAAGATGAAAATATGAGGAAATCAAATTATTAGTATCATAATGGTGAGGCCAAGATAATGAAGTTAATGGTAGGAGGGGCAAGGAGCCCTCCCGACTTTATTTTGAATGGGTGAGCTAGGATATTTTCATGTGGCAGAGAAACTCCTATCAATACTTAAAAGTGGTTTAAAGCACATGAAAGAGTATTCAGCTGTGTGGGGAACAGCCTTCTCTGGTCATCAGCTCCTACTGGGGATCTAGGAACTTCGGGCCAGCCATCTTCTTCCCACCAAAAATAAGTGTCTGCTTCCTCTTTGTTGGCTCAATCAGATTGCTAAGGTCCTTATTCTTCCTCAGCATCTATCTCTGCTTGGCTTGAGTCAAGCAGATGGTGTTATTGGTGCTAATGGTTTCACCAGCTGATACTATTCCTTCATGTTCTACTATTCAGGACTACAAAGCCCTTGAGGAACTGAGATGGGAGAGGGGACAGGCAAGGTAGCTCATCTGAGAAGAAAATCCTCAGGGCAAGAGAAAGTTGGGACCGCTGAAGGTCATGTCAGTTATAGGCTGACAACTAAACTGTCTGCTGTGAAGTGGATTTGGAAGGCAAGTAACTCCTCTGTTCTGAACTGATCTGTACTCTGCCCTCCAAGGATATCAAATGCTTCCTTGTGATTTTTCTTTAAAACAGCTAACAAATTGTGGTAATAATGTGGAGATGAATGAATCGAAACTGTATAGATGGGAACTCAGCCTCCCAGACACATATACACCAATCTCGGCTCAAGTGTTCAACTGCAATTTATTTTTTTTTAAAAAAGAAGAAATTAAAATCTGATTTGTCATTACATATGCACAGTTGTTCCCAAGTTCTATAAACAAAACAGCATCAGTTCCTGAAGGAATTTGTCATTTATGAATAGAGCATCTTTACCTTCTCATATCTATTTCTAGAATTTAGAAAAAAAAATAAAAACATAAAACTGATTCCACACGAGAGGTGTTGACATGCTTCTTTGTCAGTAAAATGCTAGAGTCTACCCAGAAATAACTGCCATTGGATTTTGTCTGGAATAGAAAAGATTTTTGTTTACACATTTCTCTGAGTTATTTTGTGAAAAATCTAACACTTTGGTGAGATATGTGACATGAAAAAGGATTTGTTATTTCGGGATTTTTTGAATTATTCATTTTTGGATCATGTTGCTGTTAGCAGAATAAAATGTGAAACATAAATATATCATTTTATTAGATTAGATTTAATATATTCTAGTAGCACTGCTAAGAAAGATTGCTTTTTAAATTCTATCCAGATCATAATAAATACGTGATAGATATTACCTATTCCAAAGGGGAACAGAAATGAAATTAGGGGGGTCTTTTGCATCACACAGACTAATTTCCAAATTAGAGGAAAACTGATTCCCAATGTTTATATTCCATTATCACTGGAATAATCAATCTTTTAGTAAGTGATTTAAACTCCTGCTGAGAATACTGTGAGTGACATGACTAGACATGTCCAGCTGGTTGAAAACTAGATGTGGACATTTGACAAGGAAATCAGAAAGACACTTAGCTCAACTCTTGACTCTTGTTTCATTTTCTTTATCTCTAAATCAGCAATAATAATGAGTCTGATACTTAGTTCCCAAAGTGATTGTGAATATGGAATAAGAATTGACAGTTTAGAAAAGTGCGAAAAAAATAGATAAAATGTGCTACATAAATTTGAAATAATAGGGTCATTCCAGTGTTCCATGTTGAATACGCAAGCAGCAGTAGCTAAATCCACAAACAAATGCAAGGAACTATTTCTTTATAAATCTAATTTGTATGATTTTATCTCTCAAAAAATGACTGAATTGAGTATCAGTTTATCATGAGTCCTCTTGAATTTTCTAAAAGGTTTAGAAAATCCTGTGCTGGTACCAAGGTGTGCCAGGATACTATGTCTGTGCACTTGCTTGCGGCATGCCTGCCAGCCACAGAAGAGACCATGACCTGAGTTTGGTGTGCAGCAACACTGAAGGACCAAGAGAGTAACAGTTGTTTTCTTTGTCCCCTAGTGTACTATCTTTTCCCAGGTGACTGCATTCCAAATAACAGAGAATAAACTTGAATTTAGAATACTAGGCTCTGGAGCATGTGGACCTTCTTTTGAGTCATTTCATTCATCAACTCTGCTACTGTGCAAAAGTAATATATCCCCCAAAGCAAGACAAGTTCCTGATGAAATCAGTTGCAATTCCACCCACCTGCTGCCACTTTCTTCTTCTAATGGTTTTCCTTTGACATCTTATTGGGAAGGTAGGGGCCCTTCCTTACTTCAGTGATGAGGCAGGAGTGAGGCTAGAGGTTGTGGAAGAGAGAGGTAGCTTCACTGTTTGTCTTCCATTGCTTCCCCATCTACATATGCCTACCAGTGTATATCCTGAACTCAAGACCCAGGGCTTGGTTGGTCAGGAACTTGAGAAAAATGTAGCAATAGTTTCTCCTCAAAAAGTTATTCAATTCTGAAGTCCTGTGCATTCTCATTTGTTTGAGAGGTGAGATGGACAGAGGACCACTAAAGCAGAGTTTTAGAATTTTGATACAGCCACACATCCTGCTCTCCTAGTCACACATGCATAATTGATTATTTAAGTGAGATTGTCCAGTTGGTAGAATGGCAGTTAATGTCACAATCATCTATCCTAATTGTCAAGGGAAATTATGCTAGGCAATGATGAAATTTGCCTTTTTTCCTACATAGGACCTACCCTATGCAAAAATTGAGGAGATGAAAACATATGTACTAAGTACCTTTTCTCCATCCATCTTCCATACTTATCTTCCTGCATCCTATCTCTGGGTGACTAGTGGACTGGTACCAAAACAACCTGCTGGATATTCAGACCTACACATCATGACTCATCTTCTAGGTTTTACCTTCTGGGTGGCACAGAGTGTTCTGGGTGACTCCTAACTCCCTGCCTACATCCCAGTTCCTCAGAAGTTCACCAGGTAACTGAGTAGCCCATCTCATTTTGAGTTTTAACCTGTTAACATGATATGAAGCACTTAGGAAATGTTAAGTTCGGTAAATGGTGATTCTGTTCATTTCTTATGCTTTCAAGATAATATTTACATTTTGACACCCACCTTTAATAATATAAAGTGAAGAACAAGGAATTTCAGTTAAGTCCATCAAATAATATCTTTGGAGGTAAATAATCTACTTGATAATGAAATATAGCCAAAAGCAGAGGATTTCTTGTATAGAAACTTTAAACCTCATCATAATATTTAAATTTATTTGCTATGCCTCTAGTGACAGCAAACTGTAAGATTAGCTGACCCAGATGACTGTGACAGCATAACATAATGAACTTGATTCTCATCTGCACTACAGCTTTTATTAGTTTGTGGACTCCGAGGCAAAATTTGCAGCAGAAGACAGTTCTATTCATATTTAATTACAAGAACTATCTTAATAACACAAGCTGCTGTCTTAATTTTGTCTTTAAGAAGCTGAATTCTATTTAAGGTTTTTTTTTTTTTTTTTAATGAAACAAAATGATGGCAGTCTTGGACCCAATTCTCTGGTGTGTGGTTATTTCTATTCTAGCCTCTTCTAACTCCTGGAGACACAATAGAACTTGAAATAGAATCCTAGAGTACATCAAAAGTGAAGGATAATATGTGCTTCCTGTCTCCTGATGCAGCTAGGGCACTCTGGCTTTAGAGTAGAGGAAGAAGCTTGTCGTGATGGAGGAACAGATCCCCAAACTCCCACTAGCAATTACCTCCGTAGAGTAGAAAGAATATGGGTATCATTCTCGAAATATATCTCTTACTACTAAAAGCAGTCTTCCTTCAATAATTAAATCAATTTAATAAAAATGAGGACCAATAGCTTATGCATATTGGTCAAAGTGACAGCTATCTGTCATTGGGAAAGTTTCATGGGTGAGAATTTTAGTAATAATCTTAGCATTTTATAATTAAACACACCGTGGTAGTGGTTAGATTTATCTGTACTTCATTTCTTTGAAATCAATGAATGCAAGGAGGAGGATGTTCTTATGTAGAAAGTGATAAGATAGACAACTTGGGAATAAAAATTACCATTCATGTTTTAAGCTGTCTACCAAAAGGCACTGATCTAATTAGAAAAAAAAAGTTTTGATTATTTAATTATAACTACACATTATTCAGGGAAAAAAGTGATCGTCAGGGGTGTTTTCCAGGTGATTAAAGTTTGTCTTTGCAATATGGTACAGGGACATGTTCTTTAGTTCTGCTATCATGTAGCTCTATATTATAACATCTAAATGGCTATCAGTAAATTTACTAGGGTTAATTTGATTGCAGCTAACAAACAACCAACCAACAAAAGCAATCCAAACCCAAAATGTTAAGATTTAAAAATATAGTGATTTTCTAGCTCCTATAATGAAAAGCAAATGTCTTCTCATCAGGGACTTGATAGGGGCTCAGAAAGGGCCATCAGGATCAAGTTTCTCTGAGTATCTGAACACTGCTTTCTTGGCTGTTAGTTATTTGCAAGTTACATGTTGTATTAATTTCCAAGGAGTACTGGAACAACCGCCACACAAGGGTGACTTAAACAACAGAACTTTCTCGTGGGTCTGGAGGCTGGACCACTCCAATATCTACCTCTGTCATCGGATAGCCTCTCTTCCCTCTGTCTCTGTGCCTCTGTGTCTCCTCGTAAGTTCACCAGTCATTGGATTTAGGGCACACCCGAACCCAATAATGCCTCATCTTGATTTGATGACATCAGCAAAGGCCCCATGTCTGAACAAGGTCACAGTCACAGGTACTGAGGGTTACAACTTTAATATTTGTTTTCAGGAGACACAACTCAACCTGCAGCTCACATGGTGACAAAATGACTACAGCAGTTCCTTACCTTATCTTCCCAAGTTCAAAGTCAGTAGAAAAGAAAGTACATCTCTCTTGTCACCATTGAAGCAAAACCGTGGCCTGTCATTCACTGGCCCTGAGTGCTTATGACTCAGCAATCACTGTGATCAGAGCATGTGAAACCCTGTTTGCCAGTCCAAAGTGATCTTCCCAGCCCTGGACTATGTGGGCCAATGCTGGAGGAAAGATCAGAAATCAGTTTCCTATACATCAAAAACAATTTAAAATAAATCCAAGATAATATAATTAATGCATACAGGTAGAGCAAGACATAGTATAGACATGCACGTTCCTATTTATCCATGATTTATTATTTTCTTTTTGTTTATTCCCAGTTTTATTGAGGTATGATTGATTTACATTAAAGTCTATATTTATAAACTACGAATCTGAAGAGTCTTGACATCTGTGAAACCATGGACATAATCAAGGTGATAACTATCTTTGTCACCCTCCAAATTCCCTTCTACCCTTTTATAATCCATCCCTGCCCACCCTGCCATTTGTAAGTGACCTTAATCTGCATTCTGTCACTAGTTTGCATTTTTTATAATTTCATATGAATGAATTTATACAGTAGATATTTTTTGTGACTAGGCTTTCTACTCAACCTAATTATTTTGAGGTTCATCCAAATATTTATATGTATCAATATCTCTTTTTTGGTTTACTAGTATTCCATTGTAAGGACAGACCACAGTTTATCCATTCACTTGTTTATGGACATTTGGGTTGTTTTCAGATTTTGGTTTTTATAAAGATCTCAGTTGGGAAATATTTACTCCAAAGTTGGAATTTCTTTTTGTTTAATAATAGATGAGGAAAATGTTCACTGCAATGCTTACTAAAAAAGGTGATAAATTTCTTTTTCTTTTTTTTTTTCAGATACTGAGGCGAGCAGACAAAAATGGTAAGACCTAAATACTACAGTTTCTATTTATTAATCTCATATTTTAGAATGCCTTATAAAGAATAATAGAGAAGGCGAAAAAACTCAGAAATTGACATATAAATGTGAGTTTCTTGTGCTAGTCACAATTTTGGGCAAGTTATGGTTCCAAATATTCATGAGAAGTTGGCAGAGGAATTTACATTTGACAGGAAGGCGGAATTTATGCCTTTGAAGTGAAGAGCCCTGTCATAATTGGGCTCTGGCATTTCCCTTTAATGCTTGAAAAAAAGTAATTTTACAGCAACAACAGCTTCTGTTCATCGAATGACTCCTGTGTGCCAAGCAGTGGGCTGGTTGCATCGTGTGCATTATGCATCAGTATTATTAAAATATAAAGCTGAGTCTTAAACCTAAGCCTGTTTGAAACTGAAGTCTACGCTTTTCACACTTAACTTTATAGTGATCCTAAGAGTGCTACTGCATCCAAAGTGGTTGCTTGGGTGCAATGCCATATAGCATACATCCCATGTTCACTCTCCCATGTGAAGCGTAGGCACAAGGGTGATAAGCCATAGAGACAGAAAAGAGGACAAATCTAAAGTAAAAAATTCATTTGTCAATTTATTGACAGCTGCACAAAGTTCAGCAGTTATAAGCTGGCACAAGCAATATATTTTATTACTTTATTCCACTTTATTCACATAATCCCAAATTAGAGAAATTTATTCTGCTGCTATAGCTTATGTACTATAGTGTAGGTATATTATTGATGAGAGTTACTTGACAAATTTGGAATGCAAAGTCTTCCTTCTTTTCCTTGAAATCCCATTTATCAATGGGAAAGTTATAGTCAAATCCAGATTTGACAGTTTAAAGACAGTGGTTGTTGTCTAATTTGTCCTTAAGCAGCCAGATCAAGAAAAACTTGACTGACACTGTGCATCTTTCTACCCCAAAGAAAATACATTAATCTAAGATGCAATGAAGTAGAGTCTCAAGTCCACATAATATTTAACTATGCCTGGCCGTCAGAATATTTTTTCAAATTATATTGTGGTAATTGAAATATTGCCGATTCAAAAGTAATTTTTAATTTTTTTTTCATTTGAAGCATTTGATAACTCTTTAAAACAGAAATAATGACACTATCATCTTGTCTTCTCATCTGTCCTTCCACCTTTTGCCTGACACCCTGTCTCGGTGATGCCTAGAGTACAATGGCTCATCTGTAGGCCACTTGTCTTGTGCTTCAGCAGCTGTCGGCAGCTCAGAAATGCTTTATCTTTCTCCCCACCCAAGCTCCTGGTTCTCTCAGGATGTACCTTCATCTCCTTGGACCCTAAGACTCTAATTAAGGGCCACTCTTACCATTGTACCTGTCACTCTTCTTTCCATCGAAATTGTCATGATTCATAGTTACGATGAAAAGCAAAATTATCCTAGTCCGTAGTTAGGATAAAAAGCAAGTGAAAAATCAATTCAAATGATTTGTGGGCCTGTGATTACCTCCTGTGTTATGCTACACAGAGTCATCACTTGCACGGGCAGCCCCCTGTCCCGTATTTCCTCCCATCTCCCCTTCCATCGGATGCCTCTCTCCTCCTTGCTACCTTTCCTCATGCCAAATAGTAATGTGCTATGAAAACTTAGCCCCACTCTGTTCTTACCTCTCACAATCATCACCATGAGTTCTTCTCAGCAGCCCATGGAAGCACTCTATTCCCTGAGCATCCCACCATCTGCCACACCTCTGTGATGCTGCCCTGCTTTGACCTTTTCCTGGTATGACATTCCACCCTCAGCTTGAGGATGCCTCTGAGTGGTTACACTTCTGCTCAGAAGGCTCCTTATCTGGAAGGACTCCCGGAGCCTTCATCAGGGCTCCACCCTCACTCTCTACACTTTTGCATGTATCGATTATTGCCCTTCTGCAGTTTGCTGGAGATTCTACTTCTCTAAGCCAAATATGCCTCTCCAGGGCAAGGAACTCTCTTATGAGTAAATACTCTGCCCAGCCAGCACTAGATGTGCAACAGATGTTTGTTTAATAAATTATTAATGATTGAGAATATTCTTTTCCATTATCCTTCTCCCTTCTCTCTGTCCACTCTTCTTCCTGTTTTTTTTTTTTTTTTTTACTTTTGGCATTATATTTATTTCCACATTTTACAAGTTCACAAAAGCAAATAACAAAAGCCTATGACAATCTTGAGTTTATATCAAATGGAAAATATAAATCCTGATCTAATTTGAAAACATTTCTTAGTCGTTTTTTTTGTTTGTTTGGATAAAAGTTCATTTTACTCCTAGAATTAAACATTTGTCTATTCATTGTAGAAGATAACATAGAAGCAAGAGGCAAAATTGATTACTAGGCGAGATGCATGTTTTATTAGCTATACATTTATAGATTAGCTTTGAAACTGAATTACAAAACTACTTACTTACAAATTAGAAAACTACTTAGTACAAAATTACTTTGTTGAATAACGTTTACAGGTTCATATGGAAACATTTTTAATCTTATTCATACTAGGGTGGCTTCTTAATAAGTTCACAATTCTTCAAATAGAAAATATAAAACACTTTTCACCTTAAGAGTGAATGAAGATTAAGCCAAATTTGCAAGGTCAAGATATGTAAAGATTTTACTTCATAGCCCCTTTCTGTTCTAAATTTGGTTAACTTCTTCCTGTTTTTAATCCCATCTATTCTACCTCCTTCTCTGTATAGAGAGGGATAGGAAGTCAAGCAGGCCCATGCCTAAATCCCAGCTATATCACCTAGTAACTACATGCATATCTTGGGGTTGTTATGAGTAATAGTGGAACAATATATGTAAAGTCTTTGGGAAAATATATGTAAAGTCTTCGGGGCAATGCCTGACGCACTGTTAAGTGCTTAGTACTGAAAGTTTGAGCTGTTTTTTTTTTTTTTTGTGTGTGTGTGTGTGTGTGTGCTGCAAAGGTTCTGTTATTTCTATTGCCAGTGGAGTTTAATGAGAAAAAGACATAAGGCTATTTACCATACAAGGAGAACCAAAAAGAGAAAAGGAGGGTAGATGATCTAATGTAAATGTGAAGAAAGTAAACACCTTCCTGTGCCATGTGTTCATTGTGCAAATAAACAGCTGTCACATGTATTTGAACTTTTGGTAACAGACCCTCCTGTCAGAGAATCCCTTGTGGAAAGCTTAATTGGTGGTGGACTAACGAAAGGAATTAGAGGCAATAAACAGTATGATAGTTACCCTGCCAGAGGACAGAGTTAGCATTTGGACTTCATCTGACCTAAGAGAGAAGCTGCTGGACAAATGAGGAGGAAATACATGATTTGTGATTAATTAATAATAATGATGCCTTGGAGAGGGGTTTTGTTGCGGGGAGCAGTTGGTTGTTTTTAAATCATAGGTTAGGATCCTAGATATAAAGATAGACCTGCAAATAGGATTGCTCAGGGGAGATGCTGGCACTTTGATCTCAAGAGTGCAGAATTAAACCTAGAAATGCAAAACTCCTGAAAAGGCTTCCTTCACAAAGACTGAATGAAAATAGAAATGGCACATTGTTATTTTTTAAAAATTTGCAGAAATGTTTTTAAATTTTATTTTAAAATGCTTAACTAGCACACTAAGATTATATATATTCAAGGTATACAATGTGATGTTCTAAATATGCATTGTGCAATGATTACCACGATCAAACTAATTGACACATCCATCTGGATGCATGCTGGACATCACATCCCCAGAACTTGTTCATCTCATTACTGAAAGTTAGTATCCCTGGACCAGCATCTCCCCATTGCTCCCACTCCAGCTCCTGGCATCCACCACTCTACTTTCCACTCCTTTGAGTTAGACTTTTTCAGATTCTGCATATAAGTGAGATCATACAGTATTTTTCTTTCTATGTCTGTGCCAAAGGATTTTTTTAGCCTTTATAAAAGGCAAAATGAAAAGGCTCGTAGTAGTGAATAACACGTCAGATGCCTCTTGCTCTTACTCGGTTCTACTGTTATTCTTGTCAGCAGACAGGTGGGCTATATGGGTGGTGCTTTTGATCCTTGTGTCACGACTGATCTCTTTAAGGGGCTCAGTTCTTCTCTGGTCTTTAACCCAGTCTAGCAGCCTGTACATTGTTCTTCTCTGAGGGCAAAGATGTCCGGTCCAAAATGCCACCACCACACTCAATAAATATTTGTGAATATTTGTAAGAAGCACATAACCAATAATTTGACCTTAAAAATTTTGGAACAAACATATGTATTCCTTAATCAAACTAAGCTGTGTTGTTGTGTATCTATTGTTTATTAATCAAAATATTGGCCAAAATTTATGGAGGGCTTTTTATGGGCCAGGTCCCATCTAAGGTGCTTGATATACATTGTTTTAATCAGTATGAAAAGTCTTTAAAATGGACAGTTTAGAGCAGTGGGAACAACACAGGATTTGAGATCAAACAAGTCCCAGTGTCCCAGCTCTGCCACAGTTAGCTTTGTAACACTGGACGGGTTACTCAACTTCCTTGTGCCTCAGTTTCCTCATCTGTGAAAGAAGGATAATAATACTACTTCTTTCATAAAGTTGCATTGAGAATTAAAAGGGATTGTGCCTCTAAATCATTTATTCTGATTTCATACATAATAATAATTGTTCAGTATTTGCAGCTATTTTATTAATATCCTCATCTTTAAATGGAGTAAATGAAGCTAGGGAAGTTATATATTTGTCACATATCGTTCTCAGCAGAACCAATATTGCAAACCCAGGTCTCTCTGACTCCAAATTGATATTTTCACTTTGTTGTGTATGAATATATGTGTATGTTTCAGTCTGCAAAAACATAGAAATAATTGTCCTTGATTTGTAAATATCTTGCAGATGATGTTCTGGTTCCCCAATACAGAGTTAATTTATGGGTTTAATAAACTAAATGCATCCTTGGTCATCAGAAGGAATTATGATTGAATGACTAACATCTCCAAAAAATAATTTTAGCAATAAAAACTCCTAGCCT